TCTGCGGGGGCTCAGTAACTGGGGCCTAAAGATGAATTTATTTTTCAAAATGGGAGGGCCTTTTAATATTTTGATTTTGTCATTTCTTATTTTATTCAATTACAGTTTGGGGAAGCATATTTTTCATATTTTGAAAGTATTGACGTTTTTAAATGTATGGCATAAAAATGGTCATATTCACAAAGAAGTAATTTTTGCAGAATGCGAACTTGAATATGTATGTATGTAAATTTCACTTACCATATTGACTATGTTGCTTAGTCTTTGTCCATATGTTCTTTTTTTAAATAAAAGGAACTTTTCTTAGGTTAGTTTTACCTTACTGCAAGAAGTTACATGTGCTCATTGTATAAAATTTAGAAGATAGAGAAAATAAAAATGAAGATAATAAAAGCCCTCTCTCAAACATAACCACTAAAATGTTGAATGCATGTTTATTCAGCCATTTTTCTATGGGATGATATCTCATATACTATTTGGTAATCTGCTCTTTGTCTTTTGATATATTATGAACAACTTTTCCAATCATATAAACTAATTTAATTTTTAATGGTTGAGTTGCTATATTATTAAATCAATTACTTATGTTAGGTATTTGCAGTGGTTTTCAATTTTTGTTTTAATTTTTGACTTTAAAAGTTATTTTAAAATATCTTTAAAAGAACTATAAAAATAACTGTAAAATAACTATAAAGACAGTTTCAGATGTACAACCCACTGATTAGACATTATTTAACTTACTAAGGTGATCATCCCAATAAATCTCTCACCCATCAGACACCAGACATAGTTATCACAATATTATTGACTAGATTCCCTATGCTGTACTTCACATTCCCATGACTATTCTGTAACTACCAATTTGTAATTCTTAATCACTTCATCTTTTTCACTCATCTCCCCAACCCTCCTTCCCATCTGGCAACTGTCAAAATGTTCTCTGTATCTATGAGTCTGTTTCCATCCTGCTTATTTATTTATTTTGTTTTTTAAATGTAATTTTTGATAGATATGTCTTTATTGCCATTTTATTATTCACATTTTAAATATTTTTCCTTCTTCTTAAAGAAGATCCTTTAACATTTTCTGTAATACTGATTTGGTGGTGATGAACTTCTTTAGCTTTTTCTTATCTGGAAAGCTCTTTATTTATCCTTCAATTTTAAATGATAGTTTTATTGGATAATCTTTAAATTTTTTTTTTCAAACCAAAAACAGTTTTATTTGACAAAAGACAAAAACAAAACTTATTTACAGTAGTTTTCTGCTCAAATTATTTCAATGGGATAACTGTGCTTCTCCTCCAGGTTTATCTCACAACCAAACCAAGCAGAGGCTGCCCCACCCCCAGCCTCCCTATCTTGCACAAAGGGGAGAGGGGAATGCCAACCAGAATTCAGCAGCATGGCTCCCACACCCTCACCACCTCCATTGCTCAGTGCACTGTTGGAAGGAAAAGTCCCACCCCAGCCCAACACACTTCCAAAGTACCCTGCTACAAGCATCTTACAACAGTCACACCAGACCCGGGCTCACAGACATGGGTGGGGTAGAAGAGGCTGGGCAAACAGCAGCGTCAACTAATCTTGAAGCTGCCATGTTCATGTTCATTTTTCCCCAGCTGGGCTGGAGGAGGGTGAGGATCCCTGATCCCCTTCCCACCCACCCAGGGCATGGAAAAAGAGGGCACAGGACGAGGGAGCACGCAAGAGAGAGAGCTTAGGAAACTTGCCCACTCAGAGCAAAGCTCCCTCTCTGTAAATACTAATCCCCACTCTCACACCAAGAGGTGGGCTAAACCACTCAGAAATGAGGATGCCTTCCTGAAGTCTTCAGAGATCAGCCCAGAAAGGACAGAATACCTGTTTCTGCCTTTTCTCCTGGCCAGACCTAACCAAGTCAGCCAACACCAAGTAACTCTTCCCCTTGTGCCTGACCTGGAAACTTCAGGAAACTACAGGCTGGGGCTCCTGACCTGTCTTTTGGCCCAATAACAATATTATTCAGAACAAAAATATTTTGGCTAATAACCTAGGATTAGTGTTTCTTAGGATATATAAAGATGGGGTATACTGCTATTGAGCACTGTCAGCAATGAAACAACAAAATAAAAACGGGGAGGAGGGAGGAGAACAAGACCAACTGTGATCTGTTTCGCTGTGAAGTTCAGGGCAGGAGCCTCTGCAACTCCAATTTAAAGAAAGGTGCAACACAAAAAGACTCAGGGTGAACAGGCTTCATAATTTCCAGCCCCAGCCTCCTCTGAAGACAGTTCCTCAGGCAGCTGGTGGCAGGAAACTATTCCCTGCTTCTTCTAGTAGTTTCCTGCCACCACCGTGGGAAAAGCTGCCAGTAGATGGAGCTTTTGACATTCTGGCCACTAATCCAACTTTACCTAAAGGACTCCAAAGGCTGCAGGGCAAAACTTTCAAGGATAAAGAAGGGAAAAACATTAAAGAGAAAAAACAAAAAAATAAAACCCTACTGCCTCAGTCTAGCTTCCTCCCCCCCAACCCCCCCAAAAAAGTACAGTAAAAACAGAAATATAAAAAACACCTCTCCAGTTTTATCATCCTTCTCTGCTCTGTGCCTAGAAAGTTTGGTCAGATTCTCTGTTGGACCCTCTTGCTGGCTTTGGCTTTATCCTCCTTCGGTTCCTGATCCAGAAAAGCCAAAGCCTGTAAAAGTCTTTCTCTCCTTTTTTGGGTAAACCAAACCAACAATAAAATAACCATTAGGAATTCTGCAGAGATTTAACTGGTCCCCCAAACAAAAATACTCCTTCCTTGTAAAACAATCACCTGTTGTAGTGGTGGATCATTCCCAGTTCATCAGACTCTGTCACACAATGCACTCTTATTCCCCACACCTGGGCTCGCTGCCCCCATGAATGCAAACCACAGCAAAAAGGGAGATGAACACCAAGTTTGAAAAAAACCTGAATATTCAACTGGAGTCTGTTCTACCTGCTGGGTTCCTCTTTTCTTTTGTTCACACTTAAGAACTAGGAATGTCCACACTGCTTAACAGAGCAGCCAGCTCAGGGACAACCTGGACCCAACATAGGTCTGAACTTGGCAGGTTTCCTGTGTGCAGCCCAGGAAAGCAGCTGGAACAAAGGTGTCCTGTGGGTTCTCTGGAGAAGTAGCAGCACCATGCCTGTCTCCACTCTCTTGGTCTCATCACCTGAGGAGGCCTGGAGAAAGGCAGTCAGCAGAGGAGGTCCCCATCACAGTGCAGTGACACCAGCTGGTGTCTTCCTGCTGAAGATCCTGGACAGAGGAGATGATCCTGATGTTTGGCAGTGAACCAAAGAAAACTCTGTATGAAAGGGAACCAAAACAGAAACCCAGGACAGCTGGCTCGAGCCTCGAGCACCCCTGTGGGCAGATGCCTACTTGGGGTTTTCAGAGACGAAGGGGATGGGAGTGTGCAGTAACGGCAGCGATAGGTCCTGCTGCTTCTGAAGCTCCATCTCAGCAGCCCTCTGTAGTGCCACCTCCACCAGTAGCTGGAAGCTGCTGAAGTCCTCCTTGTCCTGCTCTGGGGGTGTGGGTGGGGGTGTGTTGAAGAGTCCACCGGTGGGGCTTCCGGCTTCAGCCCTGGTCAGCAGGGTGAGAGTGTTGCCAGGGGTCACCAGGGGCTTGGGGGGTTCTAGCTCCCCTTGTGGGAAGGGAGCTGCTGGCTTTTCCCCCTGGCCTGAGTGGAGTGGCATGGAGCACACAGATAAGGAGAGCACATTGGTGGGGGCTGGTACAGACACAGCCAGCACCGAGGGGCTGCTGCCACGGGGGAGGGCCACATCTGAGGCCTTGCCCCCTCGGCGGGAAATGGTGTATTGGTTGGGGTCTTGGCCATCCTTCCGAAGCATGTCTGGGAAAAGCCGCCGCCGAGCGTTGATGAACCAGTTACATATCTGTAGCACAGACAGATTGGTTTGTCCAGAAAGGCTTAGCTTCTCCTGCTCAGAGGGGTAGGCATTGTAGCGGTGCAAGTACAGCCAGTCACGGAGGATCTTTACTGACTCCTTGGGCAGGTTCCCTCTGCGCTTCCTCTTGCCTGCCAGGGAGAGGAGGCCTTCATCCTCACCCAGATCACTGTCTGACATGATGTCTAAGGGCTAAGCTGGACCTCAGGCAAGCCCCGGCAGGGCCAGGGGCGGCCCATCTGCCGTGGTGGGATCCTAGGAAGCTGGGTCCCCCCAAAGGTCCCCAGACGAGTTTTCTGGATAATCTTTAAATTTTTAAAAATTGATTTTTAGAGAGAGGAAGGGAGAGAAACATCAATGTGACGGTTGCCTCCTGTTCATGACCTGACTGGGATCGAAGTCACAACTTGGTTGGTAAGTGCCCTGACTTAGAATTGAACCTGCCACCTTTTGGTGTATAAGATGCTCCAACCAGCTGAGCCACACACAGGCAGGGTTACATAGAGAAATCTTGGTTGTAAGTCTTTACTTTTCATCACTTTGGATATTTCTTGTCAATCACTTCTAGCCTGTCAAGTTTCTGTTGAGAAATCAGCTGTAAATCTTTTGGGAGCTCCCTTGTAGGTAACTAACTGCTTTTCTCTTGTTGCTTTTAGGGACCTATTTTTGTCTTCAACCTTTTGCATTCTAATTATGATGTGTCTTGGTGTGGGCCTCTTTGGGTTCATCTTGTTTGGGATTCTCAGTGCTTCCTGACTTATATGTCTATTTCCCTCACCAGGTTTGGGAAGTTTTCTGGCATTATTTTTCAAATAGATTTTCAATTTCTTGCTTTCTCTCTTCTCCTTCTACCATCCCCATGAAGTGGATGTTGGGACACTTGAAGTTGTCCCAGAGGTTCCTTATACTAGCCTCATATTTTGGATTCTTTTTTCTTTTTACTGTTCTGATTGGGTGTTTTCTGATTCTGGTTCCATATCTTCCAAATATCTGATTTGACCCTCTGCTTCATCTACTCCACTTTTGATCTCCTGTAATGTATTCTTATTTCATTTAATGTATTCTGTATTTCTGACTGGTTCTTTTTTATGTTTTTTAGTTCCATTTTTTATGTTTCCTATTTCTTTGTTAAAGTTTTTACTAAGTTTACCAACTCTTCCCTTAAGTTAATTGAACATTCTTATAACTGAGCGGTTGCCTCCTGTATGCAACCTAACTGGGGATCAAACCTGCAACCTAGGTATGTGCTCAGATCAGCAATTGAAACCACAGTCTTTTGGTGTATGGACAACGCTCTTCTTCTTCTTTTTAATTCCTTTGCCGTGCCAAACTCTTTAGTTTGATGTAATCCCATTTGTTTATTTTTTCTTTTGTGTCCCTTACTCTAGGAGATAGATTACAAAATATATTGCTATGAAAAATGTCTGAGATTTTTAAAAAATTAATTTATTTTCCATCACTATTTATCCCCTTTATGCCCTCTTCCACCTCCAGCCACCCACCTTCACCACCCCACAACCACCCAATCATTACACTGTTGTCCATGTCCATGAGTTCTTCCTTTTTTTATTTTGCTCAATCCCTCTATCCCTCCTACCCAACAGAGCTGTCTGTGTGTTCTCTATTTATGAGTCTGTCTCTATTTTGCTTGGTAGTTTAGTTTGTTCATTAAATTCTACATATGAGTGAAAGCATATGGTACTTGTCTTTCTCTGACTGGCTTATTTAATTTACTATAATGTTCTCTAGGTTCTCCCATACTGTTGGAAAGAATAAAATTTTCTTCCTTTTTATGACAGGGTAGTGTTCCATCATGTAAATGTACCACAGCCTTTTTTACTCACTCATCTACTGATTGGCACTTGGGATGTTTCCAGATCTTGACTATTGTAACTAATGCTGCAGTGGACATAGGGGTACATTATATTCTTTTGAATTAGACTTTTCCCCCCAATAATTTCCAGAAGTGGAATCTCTGGGTCATAAGGCAATTCCATTTTTAATTTTTTGAGGTAACTACATACTGCTTTCCACAGCAGCTGCACCAGTCTGTATTCCCACCAACGGTACACAAGGGTTCCCTTTTCTCCACATCCTTGCCAACATTTGTTGTTTTTTTTTTGTTTGGCTTTTTAATTTTTTTTTTTTATTGCTTAAAGTATTACAAAGAGTATTACATATGTCTCCTTTTTTCCTGCCCTTGACAATCCCCCAGCCTCCCCTACCCCCGTACCACCCCCCCAACCCTCCCCGGCCTTCCCACTATAGTTTGACAGTCTGTTCGAGGCTGCTCTGCCTCTGTATCTATTTTTGTTCATCAGTTTATAATGGTCCTTATTATCCATAAATGAGTGAGATCATGTGGTATTTTTCTTTCATTGACTGGCTTATTTCACTTAGCATAATGCTCTTGTTTTTTGATTCATTGATGATAAACATTCTGACCGGTGTGAGGTGATGTCTCATTGTGGTTTTAATTTGCATCTCTTTGATGATTAGTGATATTGAACATCTTTTCACATGTCTATTGGCCATCTATATGTCCTCTTGGAGAAGTGTCTGTTCAGGTCTTCTGCCCATGTTTTATTGGATTGTTTGTTTTTTTGGTGATGAGTTTTGTAAATTCTTTATAAATTTTGGATATTAACTCTTTATCATTGGCTAATATTCTCCCATTAGTGGGTTGTCTTTTCATTTTCATTTTTTGCTGTGAAAAAACTCTTTAGTTTGTAGTCCCATTTTTTATTTTGTTTCTTATGCGCAAGGAGATAGATCAGAAAAAATATTGCTATGAGAAATGTCTGAGATTTTAAGGCCTATGTTTTTTTTTTCTTCTAGGATTTTTATGGTTATGAGTATAACATTCTTTCATCCATTTTGGGTTTATTTTTTGCATGTGGTATAAGAAGGTGGTCATTTCATTATTTTTTTTTTTTGCAATTTTCCCAATATCATTTATTGAATAGACTCTCTTTAGTCTATTGTATGTTTTTGCCTTCTTTGTCAAATATTAATTGACTATAAAGTTGTGGGTTTATTTCTGGGCTCTTTATTCTTTTCATTGATGTATATGTCTGTTTTTATGCCAGTACCATGTTGTTTTGATTTCTATGGCCTTGTAGTATAGTTTGATGTCAGGTAGCGTGATTCTTCCAACTTTGTTCTTCTTTCTTGAGATTGCTGTTGCTATTCTGGGTCTTTTGTGATTCCACATAAATTTTTGAAACATTGGTTTTAGTTCTGAGAAATAACCCATTGGTATCTTGGTAGGAATTATATTGAATCTGCAGATTGTTTTGGGTAGTATGGACATTTTAATTATGTTAATTCTTCCTATTCATGAACACGATATATGCTTCCACTTGTTTGTCTCTTCCTCAATTTCTTTTTTCAGTGTCTTATAATTTTCTAAGTACAGGTCTTTTACATCCTTGGTTAAATTTATTCACAGTTATTTTATTCTTTTTGAAATAATTGTGAATGTTTTTTTAAGTTTCCCTTTTTGATAGTTCATTATTGGTGCATAAAAATGCCATGGATTTTCATATTCATTTTGTATCCTACTACTTTACTGAATTCATTTATTAGTTCTAGTAGTTTTTTTGGTAGAATCTTTAGGGTTCGCTTTTTACAATATCCTATCATCTACAAATAATAACCATTTTACCTCTTCTTTTTCAATTTGGATGCCTTTTATTTATTCTTCTTGTCTGATTGCTGTGGCTAGGACTTCCAGTACTATGTTGAATAAGAGTGTATACACATTTTAACAGCTGATAGCTTAAATTTTTGTATTTTAATAAATACTGCCTTTTTAGTTATTTTAAGTGTGTTTATAAGTTTTGTTGGATACCCTATATATTACCAAAATGGATGTTCTAGAGATTATATAAAAATCTCCAAGTGTCTACAAAGTTCTGGTATATTTTCATTTTAATACGAATTGTTATATTAGAATGCTATGTTACAGAAAAGAAAAGTTCTTTGTCAATTGTATTATAATCAGATCTATAACTATGCCATTTTAAGTTGTCATTTACAGTGTTTTATTCTAATGCATTCACAACTATGTTTCATTTTAAATATCCATGGAATGGACTCTAATTTATTCTAAATCATGGATTTCCAGGAATAAAATTTAAAATCATACTGGATAAAAATTTATAGGAATCTAAGAAATAACTGGATTTATGGAAATACTGGCAAATTATCAGGACAAATAGGAATTAATTAAACAAACAGAATAAACTGATAATGATTATAATTTTTATAACTTTTTGTTTGAAATATTGCTGATTTTAAAATCTTTTTTTGCTTTTTAATATAAGAAATTTGTTTTTTCTCAGAGCAATTTAATAAATTATTAGTATACCTTTTTTATGCAGTATTGAAGCATTTGTATTTTTCTCCCTATTTGGTCCCTCCAGAGTTTGGAAACTCTTAATGAATAGGTATTATTATTTTCTTGGCAATATGGTTGTTTTAAAAAATTCAATAATAATCTGTACTCTTTATAAGAGGGCACAATTGGAAATTGGTTTTTATTACCAAAGCTTTGACTGGGATATCATGTTTGAAAGAGATTTGCATAGACTTGGATGTTACCAGAAAGGTTTTAGGAATTAAGATTGACTTCAGCAGCTGAATAAAGCCCCTCGGGAATATAGCCTGGTGTCTTGCTTATATGATTCACAAGAGCATTTCCAGGTAAGAAGCAAAGGCTGCTTTCTTGGGATATGGCAAATGGAGAACATTAAGACATTTTGGGGGACCTTGAACATGAGGAATTCACCCAAATATATAAGCAAAGTCTGGAAAACATGTGTCTTGGCTTCTTAGCCCCGAGAGGCTAATTAAAGTTCTATCTGGAGACTCCTTAAAAAATTTCAGTACAGCAGATTTAAAATTGCCTGTATAATCAATTACCACTCTTGTTGTATTTATAGAGATAATCTATCCAAATTCATTGAAACTAGACTTATGCAGTAAATAGTCTTAATTTGACTCTCCGAGAAAAATGAGGGTGATTTTAAAGAGAGAAATTTTGTTTCCAGAGAATCTATAATACACAGTTGTAGATATTAGACTCTAGTTCAGTTAGTTTTTAAAGTTTTATTTTTCACCTATAAACTGGATGAGAGACTGACTTTTTCTAATCCTATCTAATAAAGAGGGAATATGCTGATTGACCCTCATGCCATCACAAAGATGGTGGCATCCATAGCCAATAAGGAGGGAATATACTAATTGACTACCCCACCCTCAAAGATGGCGGTGCCC